AGAGCAGCAAACCCTCATATTCCTCGGGAGATTAATACGTGCTGATATCAGTTTTATCTTTAAGAAAATGTTTTGTTATAGATTTACACAGTTCATGTGTGATGACGCTCCTTCATTACGTCTAAAGTGTAAGACCTCACCCATCTTTCATATGTTGGCTTTGGTTAGAAAATATAGAATATATGACTTAAATATGTACCTGGAAACTTCTGTATTTCCCAGTAAACAACTATGGGCACATCAGGTTAAAACAGCTATTCATGAAGCAGACACCAAATGTATTATTTCAGAACTTTCTACAAGAGCAGCGCTAGCACGGTATAACCTTACCTATGAAAATTGTCCGAGCAGGTTGTGGTGTCTTGCCTTAGAAAAGCATCTGTGCTTCTTTGATATTGCAGTTCTATTACACATCGGTACTTACGTAATTCAATCTCATGAATGTCTCTGTGGTACGTTTGCCTTTGACATTGTTAAACATGTATTTCTTTATTGTAAAGAAACGCAGTATGAAAGAGACAGACTAACTGAAGATTTAATCGACATTCTTGATGTAGAAACGTTTAGTAACCTTTGGAATAATGATGACGATATATTACTCTGTTTTCTACTTGGGGTCGCCCTACTCAGTGCACGAAGGACCTCGACTATGAAACATGGACAAGGTGCATAAGCCGAATATGCAGAACTATTAAGTTGTGGAAACGATATTTCTATGAATGTGTATAATTTCTGACATGTGTAAATACCATACACATAATACCATATGTGTATATCCATATAATACCATATTGATTTACTTGTTGTAATGTACCTGTAAACCTTGTATTTATCTTCATATGCTATGGAGGAAATAAAGTATATCTATCTATCTATCGTAGAGGTGTAGGTGCATGTCGACTAGGGGTACAATACTTGGACCCTGTACTTTTCCTAATAAAATCACACGTCTGTTTGAATATATGTTAGATAATGGGTCTGTTTAGAATATACCACACCACAATAATCTTGGCGTGGCGTCTGGCAGCCGGACAGTATATCATTATCAGGCAACAATAGGCCTGGCTCACAAGCGGTTGATCCGTTCACACAGTCAGGCGCAAAAATATGACCGACTCTACTTGCCACGTCATAGTGACGTCATAACTAGCACCTTCTCGGTGTGGTGTCGCCAGTCAAGGCAGTTCATGACTGACACTTGAAGTGTATGACTTGTGCTGAGCGTGATCGGCGGGTGAGTTATTGGTTTCTACTTTTACACTTATTGTGAAAATTACATGGATCCAGAAATTGTGAATAGAGTAAGAGGCCTACCTTTAGAATACAGCACCACAAACTTTAAACATACGTCATAATACCCTTTTACGTAATGTAATGTGATTTTGTTCGAAAGCACGATCTCGAAACAATGCCTTATCACGCCTGCATGGCAACACGGTTGTCTGGCTCAGCGAGTGCATATAAGCTCCGCTCACTGGTGTTTCGACTCTACGAGCTATCTCATTGCATAAGCCCAACGATGTTGAGAGTTTCCAGTAGTTGTATATCGGCGGATGCGCAATATTTTGCAAGCACCAGTTTGAAATATTTTTCTTTTTTCACTAATACGCTCATATTTATTTGTATTACGGGCTGCTGAGGTGTTATGTTTTGTGTATTTTGTATTTTGTAATTTTTTAAATTTACATATATATTTTTGTCATTCAGTAATTTGCACCATTACATAGAAAAGTGTTTTATAAGTATTTTATTTTTCGAAGCGGTAATAATGCAATACACTAGACACGTCAGTCGTGTTTGTGCCGGTTCTGTCAATGCATTCTATTTATTTGGATTAATTCAAGGGATTAGGGTTAGGGTTAGGGCTAGGGCTAGGGTTAGGGTTAGGGTTAGGGTTAGGGTTAGGGTTAGGGTTAGGGTTAGGGTTTAGGGTTGGGGTTGGGGACCTAATGCAATATAGTAGGTACATGTCCGGTGGTTCGGTCAATGCATTCTATTTATTGGGATTATTTCAAGGGGATAGGGTTAGGGTTAGGGCTGAGGGGTTAGGGTTAGGGTTAGGTTGATCCGTTCACACAGTCAGGCGCAAAAATATGACCGACTCTACTTGCCACGTCATAGTGACGTCATAACTAGCACCTTCTCGGTGTGGTGTCGCCAGTCAAGGCAGTTCATGACTGACACTTGAAGTGTATGACTTGTGCTGAGCGTGATCGGCGGGTGAGTTATTGGTTTCTACTTTTACACTTATTGTGAAAATTACATGGATCCAGAAATTGTGAATAGAGTAAGAGGCCTACCTTTAGAATACAGCACCACAAACTTTAAACATACGTCATAATACCCTTTTACGTAATGTAATGTGATTTTGTTCGAAAGCACGATCTCGAAACAATGCCTTATCACGCCTGCATGGCAACACGGTTGTCTGGCTCAGCGAGTGCATATAAGCTCCGCTCACTGGTGTTTCGACTCTACGAGCTATCTCATTGCATAAGCCCAACGATGTTGAGAGTTTCCAGTAGTTGTATATCGGCGGATGCGCAATATTTTGCAAGCACCAGTTTGAAATATTTTTCTTTTTTCACTAATACGCTCATATTTATTTGTATTACGGGCTGCTGAGGTGTTATGTTTTGTGTATTTTGTATTTTGTAATTTTTTAAATTTACATATATATTTTTGTCATTCAGTAATTTGCACCATTACATAGAAAAGTGTTTTATAAGTATTTTATTTTTCGAAGCGGTAATAATGCAATACACTAGACACGTCAGTCGTGTTTGTGCCGGTTCTGTCAATGCATTCTATTTATTTGGATTAATTCAAGGGATTAGGGTTAGGGTTAGGGCTAGGGTTAGGGTTAGGGTTAGGGTTTAGGGTTGGGGTTGGGGACCTAATGCAATATAGTAGGTACATGTCCGGTGGTTCGGTCAATGCATTCTATTTATTGGGATTATTTCAAGGGGATAGGGTTAGGGTTAGGGCTGAGGGGTTAGGGTTAGGGTTAGGGTTAGGGACCTTATCCAATATAGTAGGTACGTGTCCAGTGTAATACGTGAGTACCATTTGTTGTTTTTCCTTTTTGCATTTTAATACTTTTTTTCACACAAAAACGGGAAACCAAAAACGTCGAAAGTACATTATGAAATATGGTTAATGTAGAAATTTTGGGCTAATGGAAATTGGCCTGTAATTTGCACTGAAGCCTTTTTCACACGCAACATAAATCTTATAAATAAAGTAATGATTCGAAGGCTAACTCACCCTCGTGCCGTCACTACACATGCTCATGTCTCCCTCGCTCCTTAGTGCGATCCACATTATCCTTACAGTGTTCCTTACATCACTTTTCTGTCACAAAATCACCTATTTATTAAAAAGCGCGTCATTCATGCATACATCGTGAAATCTCCGTCTGACGCCTGACGTCAACAACCCTTTTCAGTTTGAGGCATATCGGCTCATTCCACGCCACACGTTAACTTGTAGATTACGGAATGGGACGAGTGTGCCAAATTGCATCAGATCCATTCGGCAATTGTCCGTAGAATAAAATCACATGACACCAAGTCTACCCGTAGCATTCGTAATTGTCCGTGACCTATTCGACTCTTTCCGTTCATTTCCGTGACGTCACAGGAATGACTCGATAAATTTGCACATTGTCAAACAGTGTGGACGCAGCTCAGTCGGTTAGCTGTCGAGCTAACAATCCGAAGGTCGCGGGTTCGCGTCCGACGGGTTCTCACAAACTGGTTGCTTGTCTTAATGACACATGACCTACGGCAGAAATCGTCCTCACGAGAAGTTGTGGTGCTGTATTCTAAAGGTGCTCCGCCTGTATCGGAAACAAATGGCAGTAACAATATATATACATTCATGAGCCAACATTGTTTTAATTTTACCTGTCGGTGGAATGCGAGACAATTTGGGCACATATGTGAACCTTGATGCCAGGTATATGCAACACAGACGTGATGATTAGGCCGTGAATAATTTGGTAGACGAAGCTTCATGCCACACACGAGGCCCATGACTACAGTATAAGCTTATAACTTTCTCACATTGCAGTTCCGAAAATGTGTGGAAAAAGAGTAGAATTCTGCAGCAGTTATTTTATAGAATGACGAGGTTTAACATTCGTAAGGGCACGTGTGCTGGATTCTCCTATTCTCTGACTGACTGCAAAATAGACCATCGCAACATCGACGTCCATCACATCGACAATCACAATATCAACCCTTGTCACCACACAGACCCGTGCCACTTGACGTAATTTCCATAGACTTACATGTTATTTCAGTGTAGTATAAATAATGTAGATCTAGACCTACTGCACTTGCGTACTCTGCAAAGAAAACACATATGTATGTTTTGCCGTACATTCAACTGCCACTGTTTTACAAGCACCAGGTTAGACATGCTGCTGTTTACATCTATCGTTATAATTGTCAATCTGTTTTATGTCGTATGGCTAATTTGAATTTGAATTTAGCAAATTACCAAACCTGCCTGAAAACTGTTATGAACCCAAGAAACACTGCATCCCCACAGACTAAAAGAAAAACATTCTTCCCAGAACACGTGGTCGTGACCTTCTCATTCTACCAACAATCCATACAATCAAACAAAACTACTAATCAATCCAGACTGTGGTAAGGTAGATGATGTAATTCCTCCTGTTCCAATACAACTGCTTCACATCTCCAGTATTGTACTGTATTGAAGATATGCTTTTTCTTAACAATATATCTGGGTAGGTAAAAACAAAGACGCTGTATAGCTTATGACACTGAGCTATGAACGTTAGTACATGTAATAGGATTCTGAAAGTGTTTTTTCTTCCAACAGTCTAAATTTGAGTTGTATTGAGAGATTACCCAGGATACAAAACTATTAGACATTCTGATAACAAGTCGGTATTTTATTTAGTGGAAAAAATGGAAATCAGTGATATTTTAACATCATATTTAATAACAGCCAATGCCCTGTTTCAGTCTGGACTGGTCGGAATCCACTGCCCCAAGTGACCACAGGAGAGTCTGATATACAGGGTAGGTGGGAAAACACAGCCGGTGCTAGCTCTCCTTAATCTGGGAACATGTGTTTACTATGCTATGATAAGCCTGCATACTTTAATTCTAACTCAACAAAGGCTATTTGTTGTATACCTGGCCAGTATTTGTAATGCTAATGTGCTCTATATAGTTTACTAAACAGGCTATTTGTTGTATACCTGGCCAGTATTTGTAATGCTAATGTGCTCTATATAGTTTACTAAACAAGCTATTGTGCCCTATATAGTTTACTAAACAGGCTATTGTGCTCTATATAGTTTACTAAACAGGCTATTGTGCTCTATATAGTTTACTAAACAAGCTATTGTGCTCTATATAATAAACTAAACAAGCTATTGTGCTCTATATAGTTTACTAAACGGGCTATTCTCTGTTTCAGACTCCACTGATCCCAGTCAGGGTGGGAGCGATACGGACCAAATGCTCCCAGGGGCCAAACCAACGTCTTCTACACACGGTAGGTGGGTGTACACAGCAGGTGGTAGCTAACCCCTACCCTAGTAACAAGGTGATAGACAGACGGTAGGTGGGAGAACACAGCAGGTGGTAGCTAACCCCTACCCTAGTAACAAGCTGATAGACAGACGGTAGGTGGGAGAACACAGCAGGTGGTAGCTAACCCCTACCCTAGTAACAAGCTGATAGACAGATGTATCATCGATTGATGTTCATGATGTCAGTCACTGGGTTGTCAGGATCAGACTCCGTCATAAAACAGACGCTGTAAACTAGTGTAATATGCTGATATCTGTCCACCAAACATGAACACTCTCCAGCCAAACACAGAATATTATTGATAGAAAGCCTTATTTTAACAACAAACAATCCTTTATTACATTAACCAGTTGCCGTCCTTCACCAAAGTCTCCGTGGAATTGTTTAAATGATGCATCTGTGTCCATGTCTGTATCAACACTTTGTGATGTAAACAATGTACAACACAGATGTCCCAATGTGTACACAGTTAACTTTGTGTTACAGCGACTCCATCACAAGCAGACCACGACCTCTACTACGCCAGCAGCGACGGTGACCTGGAGGCTGTGGAGCGGATCCTGTCAGCGGGTCACGTGGACATCAACAATAGAGGAGAGTGGAGCAGGACACCGGTGATGGCGGCAGCATGGCGGGGACACAGGGATGTGGTGGAGATCCTTGTGAGTCGAGGTGCTGATGTGTCACTGGTGGACGATAGCGGTTACAACGTCCTTCACTACGCCTGTGTGGGAGGAGACAGGGAGACAGTGGAGTTTGTCCTGTCTCTGGACGGGGTGGACATCAACAGAAGAGGAGAGAGGGGCAGGACACCGGTGATGTTGGCAGCGCGTGAGGGACACAGGGATGTGGTGGAGCTACTTGTGAGTCAAGAAGGTGCTGATGTGTCACTGGTGGACGATAGCGGTTACAACGTCCTTCACTGGGCCTGTGTGGGAGGAGACAGGGAGACAGTGGAGTTTGTCCTGTCTCTGGACGGGGTGGACATCAACAGTAGAGGAGGGGGGAGCTGGAAACCGGTGATGTGGGCGGCACGTGAGGGACACAGATATGTGGTGGAGCTCCTTGTGAGTCGAGGTGCTGATGTGTCACTGGTGGACGATGTCGGTAACAACATCCTTCACTACACCTGTGTGGGAGGAGACAGGGAGACAGGGGAGTTTGTCCTGTCTCTGGACGGGGTGGACATCAACAGTAGAGGCGAGAGGAGCAGGACACCGGTGATGGAGGCAGCACGTGAGGGACACAGGGATGTGGTGGAGCTCCTAGTGAGTCGAGGTGCAGATGTGTCACTGGTGGACGATGACGGTGACAACATCCTTCACTACGCCTGTGGGGGAGGAGACAGGAAGACAGTGGAGTTGGTCCTGTCTCTGGACGGTGTGGACATCAACGCCAGGAACAACATCGGGCAGACAACGGCCGACGTGGCGAGAGGCTGGCGACATCATCAACTGTCGGATCTCCTGGTGTCACGTGGTGGACACTGAAGTCAGTGTAGTGTTGGTGTAGACAGTCATGGAGTACATGTGGTTACTGACACTGACGTGGCGTGTGACGTTCACGTCACCGTGTTTCATATTTCAGTATTAAGGTGAGGCAAAATAAAACTTGTGTCACTTTTTCAGACATTTTGTGATTTGTTGTGTTTGGAACTTGATCCGGTGAGTGTAAATACAGATCCTGTGTGATTGGTATATTAACACAGCGTTTCATTAGGTTATAATTAATCACGAAACAGACAACAACAAACGGTTTGTTTACATCTCGGTGCACTCTGTGACCTCAGACTGAGCCGAGGTTCGCCAACTGATTTGGCGCTCAACGTACACTGACAGTGACGTCACACTACTGATGACGTCACGGCATTGCCACATTGCGGCCAAGGTCTTACACTAGTCCCCTGAATGCCGAGATTTGTTTCTGACGCCCATTTTAATACATTCTAAAAAGTGAAGGTAGAGCGAAAATCTTTGCTTGCGGCACTGGATCGACCTACGTCAACAAACGTTACATAGAAATATAGACAATTTAATTTCCCACCCCAGGGTATAAATTCAAGTGCAAATACTTAGTCGGTTTGAAAATTACAAACAGTTAACCCCCCTGGATGCCAATTTTTTTTTTCAGACGCACATTCCATAAGATCTGACAAGTGAACGTTGTGTGAGAACTTCGTTCCCGCGGCACTGGGTCTACCTACAGTTATAGAATTACACAGAAATGAAGAATATTACATTTCCTGTCTGACGCTGTAAACTCAAGTGCATGTACTTATACGCGGTTTAAAAAATAGACACTGCTAAATGTTGTCCGAAAGTTTGTAATGCGTTAAAAACAGTGTACAATATTTTCCGTAACTGCCCAAACCATTCTAGGTTTATCAACGACGTTTCAGAATTACCATTTGTGGTATCAGCTATTCTAGTATGAACTGTACAACCCTAAATGGGCCTCTATCCCCAACAGGGCCCCAGTGCTATTTATAGTGTAAGGGGAATAACTCTGATTGCCCTTGTTCTAGGGAGTTGAGAGCACATGGCCACTGCCTTGCCATGCTTGTTTTGTAAGCCCAACTTGAGCTAGAATAAACCGACATACTTCAGTGATAGTTGTCCTACATATCGCCACATGGTGTCAGAAGTGGTTCAAAGCTCATCATGGCAAACTTTCAGATCACTCCATCTGAATCTTTTGACTTTTCTAACCCTGAAAGTTGGACTCGTTGGATCAGAAGATTTGAGAGATACCGGATCACTTCCAGGATATCTACTAAGGACTCTACAACTCAGGTGAACCAGTTATTGTATCTACTGGGTGCTGAAGCAGATGATATTCTCCCTACGTTTTCTCTCAGTGAGGATCAAGAAAATGACTATGATACAGTAAAGCAGAAATTTGACGATTATTTCTCAGTGCCCAGAAATGTGATATTCGAGAGGGCGAAATTCAATCAGCGATGCCAAAAAGAGGGAGAGCCTGTTGATTCCTTCATCACTGATCTGTATTCTCTTGCTGAAAATTGCAATTATGGTTCTCTTCATGACGAGATGATCCGAGACAGAATATTTGTTGGAATTCGTGATATGAGACTGTCAGAAAAACTCCAGCATGATTCTAATCTCACTCTACAGTCCGCTGTTAGTCATGTGCGCCAGTCAGAAATTATTCACAAACAGCAACCAGTTATTCGTGGAGCTACAAGTAAGCCTGATGTAACTAGCAATTCCAATGTGGAGGAAGTAGTGTCTCCATCAGCAAAATCCAAGAAATCTTGTCCATTCATTGATCGCCCCAAGCCTAAACCAACATGCAAATATTGTGGAAAGAATTCTCATCCTAGAAGTGAGTGTCCTGCATCTAATTCTACGTGTCGCAAATGTGGTAAAGCCGGACATTTGGATGTTGTGTGTCGAAGTTCTAAATCTAGACTGTCAGAAGTCAGATCTACTCCCGAAGTCGCCTACTACAAATGAGCATGAGTATGCCTTTGTCGGAATGCTCAGCACAAGTTCATCTCAGCCATGGACTGTAAACTTGAGATAAATTCATCCGTCACAGAAGAATTCAAGATCGACACAGGGGCTGACGTAACGGTAATTCCGTATGATATCTACAGATCTCAGTATCTTCCCCGTCTACGGAGAAGCGACAAAAGGCTGTATGGTCCCTCAAACTCCTGCTTGAGTGTTGTTGGAAAGTTTCGAGCCAAACTCAAGTGCATAAACAGGGATGTTGAAACAGAACAAGACATATAAAGAACTGCACCTCATCGAACTCATTGATAGTGTTACAGGTGACAAATCGATGGAACATTTCCCTGAACTTTTCTGTGGATTAGGGAAAATGAAGGGCGAATACACCATCAAACTCAAGGAGAATGCAAAACCTTTTGCAGTTTCTACACCTAGACGTGTACCACTTCCTCTCATTGACCGCGTGAAACGTGAACTTCAGTCTATGGAAGACAACGGTGTCATATATCGAAGGTCCATGTTCCTACCGAGTGGTGTGCCGGCATGGTAGTGGTTCCCAAGTCCTCGGAGACAGTAAGGATTTGTGTTGATCTCACCAAACTAAACGAATCTGTGAGACGTGAAAATCATCCACTCCCAGCTGTAAATCACACTCTCAGTCAGTTAAGCGGAGCAAGAGTATTCACCAAACTTGACGCTAACTCAGGATTCTATCAACTCCTATTGTCTGAAGAATCCAAACTTCTCACTTGTTTCATTACACCTTTTGGTCGATATTGCTTTAATCGACTCCCGTTTGGCATTTCGTCTGCACCTGAACTCTTTCAGAAGAGAATGCAACAAATCTTAGAAGGACCGGATGGTGTTGTTTGTCAAATGGATGACATTCTCACATATGGGCGTGACGACAATGATCACGATCAGCGTGTTGAAGCAGTCTTATGCAGACTTCGGGACGCAGGTGTAACTCTCAATAGTGACAAATGTCAGTTTTCCAAATCACAAGTGAAATTTCTCAGACACATCATAGATCAAAGTGGTATTCGAGCCGACTCAGATAAAATCAGCGCTATTTTCGAAATGCCAGAACCACAGAATATCTCAGATATCCGAAGGTTTCTCGGAATGGTCAACCAACTTGCAAAGTTTGTTCCAAATCTTGCCTCCATCACGCAGCCTCTTCGTGAACTCCTTGTCAAGGACCGACAATGGATATGGGAGGAACCTCAGTGAGCTGCATTTCAGTCAATCAAATCTCAACTCACATGTGCTCCAGTTCTTGGACATTATGACTCAAATGCAGAGACAGTGTTGTCAGCCGACGCATCTTCCTATGGATTGGGTGCGGTAATCTCGCAAAGATGTGACAATGGAGTGATCAAACATATCACATATTGCTCCCGTTCGATGACAGAGACAGAGAAGCGCTACGCACAAGTAGAAAAGGAAGCACTAGCCATTACTTGGGCATGCGAACGTTTCCGAGATTATCTACTGGGAAAATACTTTCACATCAATACTGACCACAAACCTATTCTCGCTCTTCTTGGTAACAAGCCTCTTGACCAACACCCACCACGAATACAACGATTCAGAATGCGACTCATGGCATATTCATATGACATTTCTCATGTTCCTGGGAAGCAGTTGTATTCCGCAGATGCGCTCTCCAGAGCTCCTCTTAACTCGCCACTCTCCACTGTGGAATCTTGTCTTCTAGCGGACACAAACATCTACGTTGACTCAATCTTAGCAAACTTACCTGCTTCTGATCAGCGTCTGGATGAAATTCGTCTCAAGGGATGGCCAATTTATACATCTCTTCCAAACTGCACAAGATCTTACTGGCCTTATCAAGGAGAACTTTCCGTGGTCGAAGGGCTCTTACTGTTCGGAAAAAGACTAGTAATTCCATCTTGCATGAGAGCAGAAATGCTTGATATCATTCACTGTACTCACCAGGGCATAACCAAGTGTCGTGCTCGTGCAAAGGAATCTGTATGGTGGCCAGGACTTAGTTCTCAGATCGAACAAGTCGTTATGAGTTGTCGTACTTGTGCTCGTAGTCGACCTAACTCTCATGAGCCAGTCATCCCGTCAGAAATTCCTACTCGTCCATGGAGTAAGGTATCCACTGACCTGTTTGAAATCAATTCAAGTCCATACCTGCTTGTCATTGACGACTACTCGCAATACATCGAGATAGCCAAACTCTCCAGGACAACTTCAGCATGTGTTGTAAACCATCTGAAATCCATCTTTGGAAGACACGGAATTCCTGATATCGTCGTCTCTGACAACGGTCCTCAGTACTCGTCATACATCTTCAAGACGTTCTCAGAGGACTACTGTTTCAGTCACATCACGAGCAGTCTGAGATATCCTCAAAGCAACGGAGAAGCCGAAAGAGCTGTCAAAACCATCAAACAGACTTTGAAGAAAGTGACTGACCCATATTTGGCATTGCTAACTTACAGAAGTACGCCTCTGCAATGTGGTTACAGTCAAGCGTAGTTGTGGATGGGACTTAATCTACGTACAACTCTTCCTGTTCATCCATCACAACTTGAACCTCATTTGCCTTCTTCAGAAGAAGTTGATTCATCTTTCAAGCAATCTAAACAGCGACAAAAGTCTGACTTGACTCACGTCACAGAAGTCGCAATCTTCCACCAGTAAAGGAGGGAGATAAGGTGTTAGTTGATGATCCTGAAGCAACTCGGGAAGCCGAAGTATAAAAGAAAGCAAACACTCCACGTTCTTACTACGTGAAGTCAGGCGACAATCTCCTGAGAAGAAATCGAAAACATCTTGTATTGTTGCCACCACAACAGCAGTCACTTTCACATCGCTCAGATCTACTTCAATCTCCAGTCTCCACTCAGCCACAGCCACTCAGACATTCCTCCAAACAGTACAGTCACCAGATCAGGAAGGGTGTCCAACAAGCCAAACAGACTTGACCTGTAGTGCAGTGTAGTGTGTGTCAAGCCAGACCAGTGACTTTTAAAGTCTAGGGTTCTAGGGATAAGATAAATCTATCCTAGTGTTCTTTTTCAGCTTATGGACATTTAAATGTGCATGCCACTTAGCATAAAAGTTATTTCTTTGATTATTT